GTATTCATAAATAATGAGAGTTGAATTTTCCCACATTGATATGAGTAGACATTAAATTTCCTTTAAATTTCACATAATCTTACTTTCAAAAAGGTATTATTATTTAGGCTGGTTCGACCTCGCCTAAACTGGTCTCCTCAATACTCCCACTGTGACCTGAACCATAACAGGGCAACGAATGGTCTCAACACGTTATCGACTATGCCAAGTTGCCACGAGTGCCCATAGGTCACGGGGAAGATGGTAATTTCTAGAGGAGCCAGGCATTTTTTCATACCACATTTTGTGATGGGATTGTCGATGAAGCAAAGTTGCATTTGTTGTAGCATTGAGTTTATTTTTTCGTTTTATAAGTGCCCTTTCGAGACAACCAATGAACCATATACACATGAAATGTATTCACTCTATTTCGTTTAAGAAAATAATGGAAGTTGAATTTTCCCACATTGATATGAGTAGACATTAAATTTTGTTTGAATTTCACATAATCTTACTTTCAAAAAGGTATTATTATTTAGGCTGGTTCAACCTCGCCTAAGCTGGTCTTATCAACCCCCTCACTGTGACCTGAACCATAACAGTGCAACGATAGTCCTAACCAGTTATCGACTATGCCACGTTGCCACGAGTGCCCATAGGTCACGGGGAAGATGGTAATTTCTAGAGGAGCCAGGCATTTTTTCATACCACATTTTGTGATGGGATTGTCGATGAAGCAAAGTTGCATTTGTTGTAGCATTGAGTTTATTTTTTCGTTTTATCAGCGCCCTTTCGAGACAACCAATGGACCATATACACATGAGATGTATTCATGCTAAAACTTGCATTCTCCGAGAATGAGGTCAAACCAACAGCATCAATTCTAAGATCGCCTTATACCACCCAGACTGACTAGACACCTTGTTCAATGAATTGCTTACTTTAGAACTTTTCAGCCCAAATTCTTGCCAAGCCAACGTACCGGGAGATAATAACGAAGACGTTATCGCCAACGTCAATAGTGCCAGAAAGGGAGGCAAGGCTAATCGGTGGGTTATGGTGCAACGAATTGGCACACGTGGATTAAGCATCATACCAGACGGTCTGGTCAATCCAATCTTTGGTTCAATCCTGACTCTCAGCCAATCAGCGACATGACGAAAAACCTGTCCAAACTGGGCAACCAATCAGGTGATGAGAAAACCAGCCAATCAGCGACGATCAGCAAATCAGCCAATCAACTGTCTTGGGCAACTTGATACACGTGTTGCTTTCATAGGCTGACGCTGACTAATTCTCACGGCGACTACGGCCTCGGTCCACCGGAGGAATAGGCACAGTCACCGATTTGGAGTAGTAGTTTATGGCATCTATTGACAAGGTCAGCTGGCTTGGCCCTACACTCTATTACACGTTGACAACACACCAGACACAACGACTGACGCACCAATGGGGCGTAAGCGTGACAGCCCGGCTGCCAAGGCCGGGCCCGCCAGGTAGGCCAAGTGTAACACATCGCGTAGGCAACCATTCTGCTGGGCGTCCACCGTCCGCCTCGTGCCTCATTCATGTCTGACTTGGCCAGCCTCGTTACACGCAAGTCTGGTCACTATGCCGTCCCGGCCGGCTCGACGTCCGGATCTGGACGCTAAATCTCGGAAAGTATACCTCATCTTTGCTGTCCTCGTGGTTGGGCTCGAGGCTTCTGCTTCAATGTGATGCATTGGATGGGCTATTTTCGCGTCCGCCGCCTCTTCCTCCTCCTCCATCTCCTCCTTCTCCTCCTCCTCCTCCTTTTCTGTACTCTTGTCTGGAGATGCGAGGCCTATTGCGCTGCCGGTGGCATTCCGTCGGCCAACGTCGATATCGACGGTCACGGCAACGGCAACGGCAACGGCAACGGCGACAACGACGCCACCGGCTCGAAGACGGTCGATCTCAGTTTGTGGGACTACGGACTGTTGGCCAACGAGACGGTGATCGCAACGGTCTCCGCGCGCCGCTACACCCACATTCAAGGGACCAGCTACTTCGGCTACTCGGTGGCCAGTCTGGAGAGTCAATCGGGCTCTTTTTGTCTGGTCGGAGCACCGCAGACTGTCGATGAAGGCGCCGCCTTCCTTGACGACGCGAAGACGCCAAAAGAGGCTCGTGTTGCGCCCACCGGCGCTGTCTATCGCATCGACTTGAGCCCAGAGCTGGCGGACTGTTCGAGAGTGCCGATTGCGACGACTGACGAAGAACGCCGCGAACGAGCAAGCCCCAATCCTGGCGGTTAGTTACCACTTTAGGGAGATACGGAAAAGTCGGATTTCCCAGTTCCCGTTAAATCAACTCACATTCTTGTCTAAGTGTAGATGTTTAAAGACCAAGATGTTTTGGTATCTATTTTGTAGATGCCAAGATTAACTGGGTTTGTTCAATCTGATTTACGACCGGTATTGTGAAGATACTTTAATGAGATGTATTCACCCTAGTTCGTCTAAGCTGATGAAGGACTGGTAGTAGAATTTTCCCACAATGATATGAGTTGAGCTGACGTTTCCA